GTGGTACAGTACTCCTTTGTCAATATGTTGTACTGAGGTAACCTGGGGTTGCTGTGATGCTGAACCTCGTGCCATTGGGGTATCAAATGCCATAAAGGTTACCCATGGTGGACAGTGTTTGGTGGAGTGCCCAGTTTAAGACAGGTTTGGAAGGAAGAGTAGCATCCACTTCCTAAACAACATACCTCCAGAAACTCTATGAACTTGATAAATGTCAACAGTTCTAGAAAGGCTTCAGCGCTTTTATTTATAGTGTTACTATGAGTCGTACTCGACTCTATGGCAATCAACAAAAACAACAAAAATTAGGGTAAGTCCATCACTAAAACAAAATGTGAGGCAGTAAAGAATGTTAATTAAAATCACGGGCTTGGGGTTAAAATTGTGCCATTACTGTCTTCCACAATATACAAATAGGAAGCAGGTAACTTTAGGTAACTTAAGAACTCTCTTAGCCTTCATTTCCACATATTAACAGACAGGGATGCTATAAGTTTTGAAAGAGATTTTGTCTTTCAGGCACTTAGAACCTGCCAAGAATCAAGAGAGAGCTATTATCATTAAATATTAGAACCTGATTAAGAATTTTTAGTTAGAAGGCTCTGGCAGCAAAGTATGTGGAAAGCTGTATTACTAGCTAACCTAAAGGCAGTCAGTTCTAAAACATTCATGGCTCCACACCGTCCACCAGATGGCAGTCTCCTACCACGCATTAAGTATACAACCTCCAAAAACTTGCTGGAAGGTTGGCTTTATGTGTCCGGCTGTGTGTTGGCTCTGATACAATTGCAATGAAGTAAGATGAAGGGAAATGTGTTCAAAATTTCCAAATAAACCTTATGATGCAGTAACTTTTTATATTACTGTCATATGTATTAGCAAATGCTGGTGGCTTAGTGTTACGGAGTTGTGCTGCCAACCCAAATTCAGGTGATTCGAATCCACCAGCTGTTCCACAGAAGACAGACAGGCAATCCTCTCCTGTGCAATTCAGTACCTGTGAAAAATCTGCTGAAGGAATAGTTATGACTTGGCTACAACCTGACAGCACCTAACAGCTATATATAGATATACAGAAATAAATACTTATCTTCTTTTGGTAGATTCTTTGCAATATATTTCACCAGTTCGTTACTCTCATAAAATATGTCTCAGCAAACCTAAGTAACTAGCTGAAGAACATAAAGGCTGTTACTTTAGATATTTTATACAGTCATTACTAGAATACGGTCATCATTCCAAAACAAGGGCGGGGGAGTACCTCATCATGTCCTTAGAAACAACTTTCTACATTCTTCCCTCTCTCCTCAAGTGTTCTCATCTACTAAACCTTTGCTTGGCAAGAGTTTAACACATTGTAGACTCTGAGCAAGTATTTAAAAAATTATTTTAGTTCAATTCTCTAATATATCACAAAAATAATAAGCTGTGTCTAAAAATGGTTTTATATCTAGATTTCTGAAACAAATTCTTTAAAATGTCCTTTTTCCCATGAATATTTTTTTTATTTTGAAAGGAAGTATGCGCTCCCCATCCAAGCAGTGTTTTTAATTTTTATTAGAATTCCTCTCAACCTTCCATCACATACATATATCCTAGATGCATGTTACTAAGTTTGACTAATTAAACCATTTTCCTATAATCATTTTGGGGTTTTATTTTAATTATAAAGAATGATCCAATAAACAAGAAATGTAACACCTAGTTTGTAACATTTACTATTCACAGAACCCTTCACTTAAAATAAAAGTATGCTAAGAAGCATAAAAGATCAAATAATAGGAAACCTAATAAAGGTAATGTAAATATGCCAAGATAAATAGATTAAATTATGGTAAGTTTTAATTATGGAAGCTCTGCTTATGTGGCCCATACAGAATTATGCTGCTAACCTGTTCAAATACACCGTCAATTCTGTGGAAGAAATATGGGCACTCTCCTATGTGATTTACAGCCTTGGTAATCCAATAAAGGGACAGCTACAAACCGATTCCTACTCGATGACAATGAGGATTTTTTAAAAGAATTTCCAAAACTATTTATGTATGTAAGCATGTACAGATATAGTTTTAAATAAATGTATGTATGCACGTATATGGGGTATATGCATGTGTGTACATATTCATACGTGTGCATACAAAAATACGGAAGAATCAACAGAATAAAATTACCAAGGAGTTCTGATGGCCTAGTGTGTGAAGAGCTGCATTGTCAAATCAAAGGCAGGAGGCTTAAGTCTACCAGTTACTCTACAGGAGAAAGATGAGCAACATCCTGCTGTGCAATTTATAGCCTCTAAAAATCTGACAGAGGGTCATCTATGAGTTAGTTCTGACTTGACAGCAATGAGTTAAGTGCAGTGGTGGTAGTGGTAGTGGTGGTGGCGGTAGTGGTGGTGTTATTAGGTGCCGTCAAGTATGATTCATAGCAATCCTATCAATAACAGATCTGAACCCTGCCCTATCAAGGATCAACTTCATGATCTTTGACACACTTGAGTCCATTGCTGCAGTCACTGTGTCAGTAAGCCTGGTTGAAGGTCCTGCTCTTCTATGCTGTCTTTCCACCTTTCAAGCATGATGTCCTTCTCTAAGGAGTATCTTCTCCTACCAACATGCTCAAAGTATGCAAGACAAAGCTTCAATATCTAGGGCGATATCTAGGGAGGTATCTGGCTTTTCTTTCTCCAAGACTTACTTGTTCTTCTGGCAGACCATGATCATTCCGTATTCTCCTCCAACTCTACTGTTCAAAGTATCAAATTATTCTTCTTGTCATCCTTATTCACTGTCCAACACTCATATGCATAACAAGTGATTGGCCTCAATTGGGCACACCTCAGTCATCAAAGTGACATCACTGCTCCTCAACAGTTTGGAGACATCCCTGACTGCAGACTTTCCCAGTACAGTATGTCTCCTGATCTGATTGCTACTATCAAGTGTATTCAATGTGGATCCTAGTAAGATGAAAATAGTTGACAGTCTGCCTACCAGTCTAGTTGTGAGAATTTTTGTTTTCTTGACATTGAGATGCTATATGGAAGGCTGCAGTGTTTGATCTTCTGTATCAAGTGTTTCTAGTCCTCCCCACTTTTAAGCAAGCAATAATCAAAGGTTACTAATGAGTCCTCCTCCAATCCTGATGCCACATTCTTCTCTAGAGTCCAATTTGCTCAGCACACAGACTGAGTAAGTGTGAATTATATTTTACTACTCCTTTATCAATTTATAACTTTGTTTGGCTTTGGCTTTTTTACCATAACAAGCTGGCCTAATAATGTAATAGTAGAGTTGATATATCAATTTACTTTAAAAATTATATTATTTAATATTTACATTGGATTTTTTTCTCCTTGGGTAATTTATTGTGACGTTACCCTAAGTTGGCTTTTTTTAGCAGTTTAGCCCCCTTTGGTCTCCAGCTCCCTTCATGGTCTTGCAAATCAGCATGGTCTTGTAAATCATAAACAGGTATAGGATTAAGATAAAAGAAAGAGTTCATTTACACACACAAGATGGAAAGACTTGAAGCAAACAAAGCTTGTGATGACAAGACCCTGGTGAGTGTGAGACCTTGGGGATAGAGAAACTGAGGCATTGCTGTGGAGAAACTGTGGCAAAGTGTGACCGGAGGCTTCTTGCATTTGTGCTGGCCACATTTTAAGGTTTCTGCTGTTCTTGCCAGATGTCTGAAGGAGAAGCGGACTTATTAACTATTCTTATAACAAAGCAAACCTTGATGGATGATTTGGATTTGACTGTTAAACTAAAACCAGAGCCTGGACTAAGTGAGGAACTGTGCCTTGGAATTTGGGTTAAAATCTAGACTTAATTTGAATGATATTCTTTGCCTTTTCCACTCTGCAACTTTTTCACCTAATAAACCCCATTGTTGATGCCATAACAGTGAGTTGATGAGTCCGCAATGAATAAATGAACCTCTTGTTGCTGGAGAGGCTCTACAGGTACCATAGAGCTGGGCTAGGGGCTCTTTATCTGTTCTCTGCTCTGGGGCAGTGAGGAGCTGTGCTATTCTCACTCCCTATGGCCCTTTCAGAGAGACACTTTTATTCATGTGCCCCCAGGTACACTTTTCCCCTCTTCAGACACTTACTATCATAAGTTTTCTAATTTATTTTTCTACTATAAAGAACTCAGAAGAAATAGCTTTAAAAAAAATTGGTAAATTAGGAGGGGAATTCTAAAATGAAACAATTATAAAATCATCTTCTATTATTGTTGTTGGGTGCCACTGGATAGATGTCAACTCATAGCAACTTCCTAGGAGGCCAAAATTACCAGTATGTATGTGAAAACCAATGGTCAGAAGATAGTGACAGTAAACCAGTTTGTTCTTACATTTTCTATAAACTCAATTTTCATGGTATCTATCACAAGCTACCATTATTTCCAAATCCCAGAATTGGCCAGTTTGGGATCTGCATATTGGGATTAGGCTCTCATCTGCATGGACATAAACAATGACTCAAGGTCTTAAATCATGTATTACCTTTTTGTGAATTATTCCCTGTTCCTCCTAAAAGCTATGCTACCAGACACCATATACACCATTCTTATATGTAACTCCCTACTTGCTAATAATTTATGCTTTATCCTTAAACAATACAATATTAATAAAATTTCTAAAAAAACTAAATAACCTAAGTATCAATTTGATCACTTATGTGATCTACCATCATCTGACAGAGTAAATGCAATACAGTAATATAAGTCTACTTAAATCTGTTTATCAATGATACATTTTCCCAAAAATAATCTCATTATTCAGAAAATAAAGAAAGGATTTTATTGGGGTTAGGAAAGAGGAATGGCCTACTTCAAAGTAGGAAGAATGTCTTTTATCTTTCAACATATTCAGAATCCCATATAAAAGTAATCTCAATTCTACTAGCTGTTTTACTAAAAAAGAAACCAAATATCTGAAAATGTGTTTTAAATCCAAGACTTTTAAAAAAACTCAAAAAAAGATATACTTACTGAAACACAACCTTTTGATGCTCCTTTTATTTTACCAATATATACAGATGTAAATATAAAATCCAGTTGTAGATCCACTTCATTAGTAGGCACACTACTGGAAATGTTCTCCATGGCAGGATTATTATACGGACATAATTCAGATGATGTCTAGCAAAGAATAAATTGTAAAATATACATAATCCTAAGTATTATATATACACTAAAGTTTATTTTCCAAGTAAAATTCTTCCTTAAATTGTGATTCATGAATAATTTTTCTCACTGATGATCCAGCTGCAATTTTCTAGATTTTTCTTAAATTTTATTCATTTTGTGAAAACTTCTTTAAATAATGAAATCTAAACAATTACTTCCACAAGCCTAAATTTAAAAAATATATCATCCTTTGTCCCAAATCATTATCTCAAGTATAATACTGTCAAGCAGATTTTTACAATTTTTTAACTCAGTATAAATTTCAATTTATATTCTATTTTAGTAAAAAACAAACTTGTAAAAAAATTTTAAAAAACTTCTAAGTATACGATCACAACCGCTCTACAAATTACAGGATTTTTTTCCTATTTCACTAATAAAGTTTCTAAATATTTAGATTGGATAAATGGTTGTGAAAGTCATGCTTTAGTCACACTAAAGGCAAAACTAAGACTCAAACTCCGGTTTTTTACCTCCTGGTGAAGTGTCATCTTAATCACATACAACAACTTCTATAAACAAAGATGATGGTCTTGCTACTGCACTTTTATAAGGAGCAATAAAGGGACATTAATATCTAAGAATCTATGTTTTATCACATCTGTATTTTCTATTACATGTTCTAAGGAGAAAGACAACCAATCAAAAGTGGTTGATAATCACTTTCACTCAAACATCAAAATAACTCCTACCTTTCATTAACAGTAGACTACCAGAGACTAAGTATGCCTTTAAATTACAGTAGACTACCAGAGATTAAGTATATACTGCTTAATACATACGTGAAAGTCAGACAATAAGGAAGACTAACTCTCTAGCACTTAAAGAGCCAACAACCATACCAAAGATTATCAGCAACAACTACTTCCCACCATCTCTTCTACATTTTCACAATGCTTTCAGATTGGTTCTTAACCATTTCCCATCTGCCTAGCTTTTACACATCTTCTTTCTCCAGTTCTAACATCACAAATGAGCAATACTAATTTGATCAAACACTAATAATCAAATCACTAATGGAATTATTTTGCATCTATAGTTACTCCCCTTCTATTTCTACTAAACATAATTAATCTTCATTTGAAATCTATCCAAGGCTTTTTAAAAAAATTTTTTTATACTGGTTTACATATAAAGTTCATCCAAGGCTTTTTATTTTTCACTTTGCCCACAGTGTCAATTACATTCGTAACAGAATTTATCATTCTCATCTTTTATTGCTTGGTATAAAATTATCTTATTTCTTAACTAAAACAAACAAGTAAACAAGGAAAACAAATCCCACTGCTGTTGAGTCAATTCTGACTCACAGCAAGAGGCAGAGACTGCCTATCTTTCTCCAAAGGAGCAGTAGTGGATTCTAATTGCCAACCTATCCGTCATCCCACCAGAACTCTAGAACTAAAATTTGGGAATCAAATTTACTACAGTTTTAGGGATAGTGTAAAATAAAAGACTGGAAAATAATGAATTTATTAAATCCCACATTTTATAAAGATTGTCCCCTAAAAATGACTATTTTCTAACTTCATTTAAAAATGGAGTGAGGGAGAATAAGGTGGTAGCATAGTTATTTTTCTTTCTAGATCTTAAAAGGTCTCTACAGTATTTGCTGCTTCACTGTGATCATATACTGTTAACTTTACAAGAGTAAATTATAACCTGAACATTTTTTTACTGCACTATCAGTTTATTAAGGGAGTTCTGGTAGCCTAGTGGCAAGAATCTGAGCTGCAATCCTAAAGGCATGAAGTTCAAGACCACCAGCTTCTCTATGGGAGAAAGATGGGCAATCTCCTCCCATGTGATTAGTGCCTCTGAAAATCACCAGTCAGTCAGCCATGGGTCAATTCCAACTCCATGGGACACAACAACAACAATTAGTTTATAAAGTAGTCTCGGGGTCACAGAGGCTAAATATACTGTTGCTAAACAAAAGGTCTGCAATTAGAACCTGTCAGTTTTCCTCTGGAAAAGATGTGGCAGTCTGACTCCATAAAGATGTATAATCCTAGAAACCCAACGGAATCCTTCTACTCCATCCTTTAGAATGTGTCAGAGTCAACTTGACAGCAAGAGGGTATCAGCTTAAGTGCTGCCAAGGAAATTATAACTCATCAATACATTTATACTCATTAAAAACAAAGACACTAGTTATAAAAACAATTAGGTCATTAAATGGAATCCCTAAGGGGTGCAAAATACTAATGCTTAATTCAGCTAGATGCTGAGAAATTGAGAGATTCAAATTCACCCAAAAGCATCTTAGAAGAAAGAACTATTAGATTCAACAGCCATTAACAATCCTATGGAGTATACTTTATTTTGACATACAAAGTAGGTTGACATAAGTTGGACTCACCATGATGTCAACTAGAATAAATTATCAAGTGGGCTACTAGTTGAATCTACAAAGAATAATTACATTTCAATAAAAATTGAGAATACGCTTCTAAGGTTAATCGATGTGAGGGGTATCAAATGCAAAAGAAATACCCATGAAATAGTATTAAACTGTCTGCACAGATCTGAAAAAACTCTTCACTGGACTCTAGAGAATAACAGCTTCTGAGATCATTTAGGGGAGCACAAGTGGCTTAGCTGTAAGGAACTGTGCTGCCAATGCAAAGGTACATGGTTCGAACACACCAATAGCTCCACGGGAGAAAGATAGGAAATCTCCTCCCATGTGATTTACTGCCTCTGAAAACCAGCTGGAGGGTCAGCTATGGGTTGTTCCAATATGATATTACACACCAACCACAAGATTATTTTAAAATATTAATTCTGCATTGCAAATTACTGACAATCATTTCTTTAAAACTTATATAATCAGATGCAGATGGCATAAAATAATATTGACAAGAATGACTTGAACACTTCTTTAAAATCATACTCTTCAAAGCGCTGTATCAAACATGGAATTGGTAGACATTAAATCAAAAGACACTTATTCTTTTCTGTAATAAGGAAAAAGTTAGGAACTTACCTGAAACTGTTCTAAACAATTTCATGTTACTTCATTTAAAAATCAATTAAGCTTGTGAAGCAAGCATTATTATTATCACTTATTATGAGGAAAATAAAACTTAAAGAAGGTAAGTGACTTGCATAAATGGCAGAGGCAGCATCTGAATACAAGTGTATGCATTTCCAGAATCCCTTTCATCTGTATCATGCTACTTTAATGGTGTATGAGGAAAAGGAATAATTTCAAGTAACCATCATATATTTTAAGACTAAAGGGTAAACACCAGAAAACTGTTAATTCTACAAAATACTCTGATCAAATAGAAAATGTCTAATGAATGCCCTAAAAAAAGAAAAATACAGAAATTATAAAACATTTAGACTGAAATCATAAAAAAAATCCTGAAAAAAAGGCATAATCCTTTCATTTCAAAAAATAATTATACCACACTAACATGAAACTTGTCTCAAAACCCAAACTGAGAATATTTTCAGTGTTTATTACTAATATTCTTTTGATAGAAAAAGTAATAATTATTTCAGTGTTAATATAGCTGTGAGAAGGCAGAAATAAAATACCTGAACAGATTCAGATGTCATCAAAGGTAGTGCTAATAATCCTGTTACAGAAGTATTCTCATTTTCATTACCAATTTCATGGTCTTGCTTAGGTTGTAATTTAAGAATTTCTGGACTTTTATGTTCAACAGGTCCTTCTTCATCACTGGAAACAACAACTAAATAAAAGAGACATCTGCTTTTTTAAAACACTGTCATAATAGAACTACTCAAACAAAGAACTTCATAATAGATTGTAGCTTTAAAAAGTCAACTGAATTTATTCGTTAAAACACATTTCTAAAAACTAGCTTATCATGTATTGCCCAATTTATTTATATATTATATACTATTTTCCCCAACAGTTATATACTAATTCCCCAATCAGTGCTATTATTAAATTGCTACTACACCCTTACATTTCTGGAAAATGAAGGCCACTTAAGAATGGGTCAAGTCAGGAGACTTTATAAACAAATTCTCAATCTAACAAATGTACTGTGCTATCGGCCTAAATTGTACTTTAAATCCTGATACGTTAATAGCTTCCAGGGAAAGAAAATGGAGGATTATACGAGGAAGATGTGTAGGATTATTCGCTGAGTACCTTTAAGAAACTTTTATGCACACCCATGTTTATTGCGGCTCTGTTCACAATAGCAAGGAGTTGGAAACAACCCAGGTGCCCATCAACAAAGGAATGGATAGAGAAGCTGTGGTATATTCACACAAT